CTGAGCCTTGCTCTTAGACTCCTTTCTAGCAAAATGAACCGAACTCTACAGGTGCCTGCTGGGCACCTTCAGTCCATGTAATGGGGAAGAAGAACACAGGCGTTAGAGAAAGGCAGACCAAAGTGTAAATGCTGACTTTGCCACTTAAGAGAGGCCATCAGGGAAGTCCCTTTCCATCCCAGAACCTCAGGTTTCTCATTTGCAAAATAGACATCCTGTCTGTAAGGCTGGATTATTGTAAGGGTTAGAGATGATATATGTGAAGCAACTTGGAAAATGCTCAGTACAATTCAGGTATTCAGTCTTGGTCGAATTGTGCATGAATGAAGACTTAGGAACTATGAAATCCTGGAAGTGTTGAGTGCAGTGCCCAGCACATTCAAAAAACCAAAAGCCAAACCCACTGCCACCGAGTAGATTGCCACACAAGCAATCCCCATTGGGGTTCCAAGGCGGTAAATCTTGATGAAAGTAGGTTGCCCAGTCTTGCTTCCTCAGAGTGACTAGTGGGTTTGGACCACCAACCTTGTGATTAGCAGTCAGATGCCTTAGGCATTGTGCTACCAGAGCTCCTTGCCTAGCACATAGTAAATGCTTAGTAAGTGGTACATGTCTGTGTGTGTCATCCAAGTGCAGTGTTAGTTGTTTAGCCACATCTTGGTCCTGCCCTCCCACAGCCTCAGGCAGAGCTATGATGTCACCTCCTGTTGTACATAAGCTCTGAATCTCACAATAACAGAAGCTACCTTAAATCTTAGGCCTGCATGATAAATAGTGTCTGACCCACACTATGGGTTTTTTGGGAGACATTGACCTCATTTCAGCTGTGGAATGGGATTAAGCTGGAACTTCAGCTTTATCAGCCAGGAATCTACCATCCATACTTAGCCTTTTCTGAAATTAAAGGGATAGTAGTACCAGTGACGCAGGTATCCTCTGCCCCACATAAGCAAGTAGTGGAGCATAATGTAGTACTCAAAGCTGCTGGAGCCAAACTGCTGGTTTCAGTCCTGGCTCTGACCTTCTAGCTTTGTAACCTTAGTAAGTTACATAAATTCTCTGTGCCTCAGTTTCCTCATCTGCAAACCAAACCCAGCCCATTGCCATCAAGTCAATTCTGACTCAACCAACCCTACAGGACAGAGTAGAACTGCCCCACAGGTTTTCCAAGGCTGCAAATCTTTATGAAGCAGACTGCCACAATTTTCTCCCCACAGAGAGGCTGGTAGGTTCGAACCACCAACCTTTTGGTTAGCAGCTGAATGCTTTAATCACTGTATATAAAAAGAGCTCCTTCCTCACCTGTGACATAGGGATAATAATAATAACCTCCTAAGTTATTGTGGGGGTGAAATGGTTAATAGAAAGCACAGAATAGAATACAGTACTTTATATTAGCTTTGGTTACTGATTATATGCACTGGGAACCCAATAAATTTTTTTTATTTGCTTTTTAGCTCACTACTTTTTTAAACTTCAGTTGATATAATTTCACATTCAAGTTATGAGAATATTCTTGCACAAAGAACTTCTGATGCCCTTTTCTATTGATCCATTGTAATGTTAGCATTTTTCCCTTTTGTAATTAATTAGTAATTCATAAGGAGATTCACCAGTTGTTAACATTTTTCCCATTTGCTTTGTCTTTTGTACACACACTCATGTTTGTGTTCTCCTACCTCTTCCCATACATGCACACAGACACACACATACATTGTCCTTGATCAAATCAGGAACAGTAACATTGATAACAGTATTACTGTCTAGCCATATGTCCAATCTTACCAGTTGTTGCAATAATGTTCTTTATAGTTTTGTTGGGTTTTTTTCTCCCCCTCAATAAAAAGTCCTAGACCACAGATTGTAATTCATTATTAGGGTTTTTTTTTAATTGTAATTTGGGTGAAATTTTACAGAGCAAATTCACTTTCCATACAGCAGTTCACATACACTTTGTCTCATGACATTGACTACAATTTACCCCAATGCAACAGCTCCCCTCCCACTTCCTCCTGACAGTCACCTCTTCCCTGTGTCCATCCCTCCCTGCACTCCTGCCCCCTGAGCTGTCTCCCTGTGCATAAACAGCCCTTCTTTCTCCCATGATTGTTGTCTCCAAGGAGTGTATCTACCTCAGGTAAATGTTCAACTCATATGCCTTTCTTTTGTTTGGCTGGAAGCCACAGGTATGGGTTCAATTCCGGACCTAAAGGCAGGTAGGGGCCATGGTCTCAGGGGTTCCACCAGGCTCTGTTAGACCAGCAAACCTGGTCCCCATTATCAGGTATTTTTGTTTGTCATTAACGAGACCTGACATTTTTTAAGTTTTTTTATACTATGTTCTTCAACTTGGGTTTGTCTTATATTCCCCCCAGTTACCTTCAGGTTGTACATTTTGGGTGGGGATCTTACAGAAGTGATGTTATAACCATCTCAGGACATCATTGTCAGGAGGCACATGTCAGTTTGTCCTGTTAGCAGTGATGGTAATTTTCATTACTTACTTTGTTCACTAGGTTAATCCATTGTAATGTTAGCATTTTCCCTTTTGTAATTAATAAGTAATTCATAAGGAGATACTTTGAGACAATCTAAGTATCCTGTTACTCATCAGACTTTTACACACTAGTTTTAGCATCATTGATAATTAACTCTTGAGTGAATCAATTACTCGGATTCTTGTGAAATAGTGATTTTCTAATCACCTCATTCTGTCTATATTGTTATTCTGCTGTAAGGAAGAGCTTTACCTCCCCTCCTCCCTCTTTATTCTATCAGGATGGAGTCACAGATTGTTATTTTACTCCATAAATACTCTGTTACTCTCATTACTTACCAAATTGTCCCAGATTTAGCCAGTGGAAGCACCTTCTAACTGGCTGCTGTGTCCTTCTAACATGTCCCATTATTTGTGGAGTGCTACCTTTTTGTCAAGAGTTCTAGGCTCTTTTTATATTTTTCTGGACAGCCCTGGAATCAGCATTTTCCCAGGGAGTCTTGATTCCTTTCAGTGGAGAAGGAAAGACATTTGTTTCTCTATCTAGTGTATTCCAGAGGAGAAGGTTTTGTCTGAGAGGAAAATAGTCAGCTCTCTCCCATCAGTGTTCCAGGCAGAGTTCATTCAGATGTACACTGGATTGAATGGGCCTTCATCTCCCTCAAGAGTGTAGACCCAGCATGCTCAGTGGTTAACCTGTTCTGGAAAGATGCTGCGATGTCAGAGGCCTTATGTAGTAGGTCAGTGATTGCCCTCTATATGAGAGCCCAAGAAAAGATCACCTCAGTGCCCTTCCTCACAGCTTCAAAGTAGTGATGAGTTTTGTTGTTTGAAAAAAAAAAAAAGGAGGTGAAGTTGCGTATCCAAAAACTTCATAAAAATGAAACTAGGTACTCTAGTTATATCCCTGTTCTGTTAACATGTGTTTATGTATAATACTTATGGCTTACTCAGCACCCCAAGGCTGTTTATGGCGTATGATTCATAGTGGCATAAAAAACAAGGGCTGTTTCCAGACAAGCATGCTTGAAATAGACCTTTCCCTTCTGCATCCTATCACCTGTGGTCATGTATTTATTTGTCAGCTTTGGTGACAAAGCACTTCAGGTTGTCTCCAACACCAGGGGATGTCACCTATTGCTCCTTCAGCTAGACTGACCCCTCCTCACCAGGCAGGCAGGTAAATTTTCAGTATTGATTGCAGGTCTCATTCTGAGAGTAATTAGGAAGAAAGGCACAGTGTAGCAGCCCCTCTACTGGGACACTGTTGATTGGAGGTGGGGGTGGAATCCTGGTTATAAGGAATTCTGAAGTCTCCTATCTGTTGAGTAAGATACCACTTGCTTATAAGCTCAGTGACCCAAATGGGACTTGTGGTGTGCCTTCCTCTTTTTTCTCTTCCTTTTTTAGCCCAAGAACTAGAATGTGTTTGCTCCTGTGTCAGGGGTCGGCTCAGGAGAACAGCCCAGGAGGGAAGATGGGGGCTGGCTAATGCACTGAGCTGCCATGAAACACACACTGCTCTGGCTCTAGTTAGATTCTACTAATGCGTGGTTAACTACCATGAAGGTAGCTCCAACTCATGGCTACTCCTTGTACAGAAGAGGGGAAGGTGCCCAGAGCGAGCCATCTCCAGTCGTTGGTATGCTCATTGTTGTGGCTGCGGTGTGTTTTGAGTGCCTTCCGTCTTAGGGGCTTACCTTCTAACACTGTACCAGACAGGATTCTTTTGTGATCCATAGGGTTTTCATTGGTTAATTTTTGGAAGAAGATTGCTGGGCCTCTCTTCCTAGTCCTAACCTGGAAGCTCTGCTGACACCTGTCCACCATGAGTGACCTCCTGGTATTTGAAATACTAGTAGCATAGCTTCCAGCATCACGGCAAACGCACATGCCACCAGAATACGTGAAACTAACAGATAAGTGGGGGAATGTGAGGTTAGGAGTGTCCAAACAGGAGATAAGAGCCCATGGAGTAACACAGGTTGTAATATTCAGAGTTATTCAGATCCAGTTGGCAAGTACCTGGTGTGGACATGGGGAAGCAGAGCTGCTGGTTTCTGCTAAGAGGCATAGAGGATGCTGTCCTTGCACATCCCACACATGGAATAGTTCAGTGTGTCTAACACTGGTCAGCAGTGGGTAGGCATGGTGCACTACTGGGCCAACCCTGACTTCATGGGGAAGAAATGCAGGACTCTAGGTGGTTGGTTGAATCTGCATTTTGAGAGGCCTGGGGAATGAAGGGCCCCTGTGTCTTCTTTCATAGTTGTGACCTCCACAAGGAAAAAAGAACAGGTGGGCTCTCTGTGGCAAGGTGAGAGCAGGTCTGGTATCTCCCATAGAGTCCTATTACTCAGCAAGGAGGCAATAAAGACAATAGAGAGCCAGGCACAGAGGGAAGGGGCTGGGGTGGATTCTGAGCTTCCCGGGACTGTGGCTGCTGCTCTGCAGACATTCTTGGTCATCACAGAATGTGACGGGCGGGTTTATCTAATTGCAGGCACCCCAGAGCTAAGCCCAGCTGAGCGGAAGGAGTTGGAGAACAAGTTGAAGGAGCGGGAGGAATTCCTAATTCCCATTTACCATCAGGTAGCTGTGCAGTTTGCTGACTTGCATGACACACCAGGCCGGATGCAGGAGAAGGGTGTCATTAATGTAAGTACAATGGCTGCCACTTCTCCTGACTTGTCAGAGATCTGTGAGCTTACAAACAGGGAGCTGTTAGGACTGGATGAAAACAGCTTATGCAGATCAAATCACTTTCTAGTTTTCTGAGAGAGTTTCCCCTTGTCTTCTTTATACGTATCAGCCTAAAACAATTTATGATTCAGGGTTCCATGGTCTTGTCATGAGGCAAGCTCCATTTTACTGGTGGGAAACTGAGTCACACGTGACTTCATTGGCAACAGCTTCCCGGGTGGTTTTCAGACTGTGGATTACTACCATGTCAAGGTGCCAGCAGCTAATTCACATTTGATCTGCATTCAAGTCGTTTCAGCAGTCTGCTCAAAAGCAATTACTCACTCTGGTTATCTGAGAATTCATAGCCTTTCCCCCAGAACATCTCAGCCACGTGTGGGGTTGGCATTAGCCAGGCCCATTGCCGTGCACAGCGCTGCAGGCAGGGCACGGGGGCTGCAGCTCTGAACTGTGAGATGTCTGGAGTTGCTGGCAGCTTGCAGCCAGCTTTTATTTCTTTTAATTGTGATTTGGGTGAAAATTTATGGAGCAAATTGGTTTTCCATTCAACGATTATACACATTTTGTTTTGTGACACCGATGGCAATCCCCACACTGCAACAGCACTCTTCCCGCTTCCTCCCTGTGCTCACCATTCCCCTTGGTCCTTTTCTACCCCTTGCTACCTTCTGAGCTTTATCCCTGCACAGATGCTGCCCTCCTGGTCCCAACAATCTGGTTGGTTGTTCTAAGGGGTATTTTCCTCCTTTTTGTTACAATTCACCTTATAGGCCTTATCTATTGTTATTGTTCACCTCCTAAGTCTGTGTCTCTTATTTGACTGAAAGTTGAGCCATGAGAATGAGAATGAGAAGGAGTTCAGTTCCAGGCTTGAAGGGTGACTGTCAGTCTCCATCAGACCAGTAAGCCTGGTGTGCTTTATTTATTTATTTATTTATTTTAAATTGTGATTTGGGTGAAAGGTTTACAGAGCAAATTCATTTTCCACACATACTTTGTTTCACGACATTGATTGCAATCCCCCTAATGTAACAGCTCTCTTCCCACTTGCTCCCTGTGGTTCCCTGTGTCCTTCTTTCCTATGCATTCCTGTCCTCTGAGTTTTGTCCCTGTGTAAATACTGCCCTTTTGATCTCTGTTTTATGGTGTTGAGTTTGTTTCACGTTATTCTCCCACTCTGTGCAGGATCTCCTAATCTCCTAGTGTGATCCCTTTCTGAGTGGTTAGCAGCAGTAGCCAGTTGCAGCGGTCTCTGAGGAGCCTGCGTGGAGGGTAGGGTTTATGCCTGCAAGGTTCTCTGTGAACTGAGCAGGGATTAGAGTTGAGATGGCTCAGCTTATTCTTGTCTTCATGTAGGACATCCTGGATTGGAAAACATCTCGTACGTTCTTCTACTGGCGTCTGAGGCGTCTCCTGCTAGAGGACCTGGTCAAGAAGAAAATCCACAATGCCAACCCTGAGCTGACTGATGGCCAGATCCAGGCCATGTTGAGGCGCTGGTTCGTGGAGGTAGAAGGAACTGTGAAGGTAGGTGGGGTACCCGTGGAGGAGCCTTTGTGCTGTGTTCCTCCCCTAAACACTGCAAGTCTTCTTGTCTAAGAACCCCTGGGTCTCTAGGTGACAGGCGTGAGCCCTCCTTCCTCACCCCTGCTGCCCAACTTCACCCCCACCAGTCACATGTCAGGACAACTTGTTAGAAGAAATTGTAGGGTGCTTGTTTTGGTAGCTTATTAAATCATCCAGCATAATTTTTTTTTGAAGCACTTACTAAGTGCTGGACACTCCATTTGGTCCTGGAGTCATGGCACTGAAGTGCTCACCCTCTAGAGGGGGAGACGGAGACATCAAGAGGTCATGTGTAACAGTGAGGCCAGTGCTGAACTTCACAGACCCAGCCATCATAGAACACAGAGAAAGGACACCTGACCTGTTCTTTTGGGAGGTCAGGGTGAGTCTTGGAAGAGTTCTGTAGGAAGTGGTGTGTCAGCAGAGACCTGAAACAAAGTAGGAATTAACCAGGTGAAAAGGTTGGAATGAGTGCAAGCCTGAGAGCAAGGTGAGAGTATCATGCATGCAAGGAACTGCAAATACTTCATTATGGCTCAGAGGTGGGGTGCCAGGTACGACCCAAGGCCCAATCATGCAGGGCTGTGTTGAGGGATTTGAACTTTGTCCTGAGGTCCATGAGAAGCCACTGAGGGATTTTAATCAGCAGAGTGACATGCTCTGTTTTAGAAAGACCTCTTGGGGCTGTATGGAGGGCATAACTGTAAAGGGGAGAAGCAGGAGCTTCACCGAAGGGAACAGTAACTTAGGCAAGAGGTACCAGAGTGGAACTAAAGAGCTTCTCATTTTAAATCAGAGCTGGAAGGAAATGTCTGCCCTGCGTGCAGGAAACAGAATCTGGCATCTTCCTGGGGTGACCTTGTGGAGAATGACGACTCTGCTGAAATGGGTGCTCTTGCCTCAGGTTAGGGATAAGGGATGGGGGCAGCACGGGCACCAGCTTCTGGTGTAGTGAGAAGAATGGTATGTCTCCACAGTGGGCTGCATAGGACAGTCAATGGGAGTGCAGGAAGAAAATCAGCCTTGATTAGTAGTGTGTGGATTAAAAATGAATTATATAAATTATGTACATTTAGTCAGAATACTGGCAATATGTGCTCAAAATATGTTTGTCTAGACGTAATGATTAAAAACAGTAGGTGGCTGGTGGGGGCACGAAGGATCCTGCCCCCACCAGCCTCTTCTGGCCAACTGAAGAGTTGCCTGAAGTCTCTGCTAACTGTTCTGAGGAAGGAATGCCATGATTTGCTATCAGTTTGAATGCCAGTGAATTGCAAATTAGGGTGCTTCTAAGATGTACCTTTGTGTTAAGTCTACCCATTTCTTTACGACTGAAAAGCTTCTTTGGATAAATACTTCACATGTGCAGCGGGAGAGCTCAGCCTTATGTGTGACATTTGGTTGAGGTTAAGGTCTGTGGCATCATAATTGAGTGAGACAATTTTGTCAGTGGCTACTAGCAGCTTCCAGTGGAAGTTGGCATTGGAAGTCATGCAAGTGTAAAATAAGAAGTTGTTCTCCAGTTAAGAATGGCCAGCTAGGTAATAGGTAAATGGACTGGGGGTGGGGGGGACAAGAAAAGCCTGTACCACCTCTCCACCATGTTAGTCACTAATGGATGGGCACAGGAAGAGGAGAAGGGACAGCTTCCCCGCTGAGCTTAAAGTGAGTAGGGAAGGTCCCTTCAGTTGTTCTTTAATGTCCTGCTCCCAGTAAGACAGTGTGTCTGAAGAGACAGGTCACTGTCATCTTTTATCAGTGGAGAGAACAGTTGCCTTTGTGTGTGTGCAGACACATGGGATGGGAGGAGGCTGCTGGAAGGCTCTGGGAAACCAACTGTGCTCAAGCACTCAGGCCATTTCTCTTACTTCTGTCTATGGAGGACGGCTGATGTCCAGGAGCGAGGCTCTGAAACCCCCTTCCACGTTCTGCAGGCTCAGCAGGACATGGGGTGGGGTGAGTGATAGAATCTGCACTGTCCTTGAGAGAGTGCAGTGTTAACACACAGCTTCTGCAGGGCAGCCATAGCATCAGTCTGGTTCCAGAATGGCTCAGAGCAATCAGGTTTTTTGGTTCTTCAGTGGTAGATACTGTGTGCTGTGTCTCTTAAGTACAAAGACTGGCTGAGTCTAGACTTTGGCTCTGCACTAACTAAGAAGTGATTCTCTGATCCTTATTGTCGTTACTGGTAGTGAAAGACACTTAGTGATAGCAATGCTATGTGTTCCTTTTTCCCCAGATTATTTTTTAATCTTAATCCAGGAAAGAGAATCCACAACAGAAAATTTGAAGATGCTGTGGTGTTGTAATTGAGTAATACAATTCTTTTGTCTCTCTTAGAGGTATACCAGTTACAATAAGTGATGGGATTCTGTCTGACTCCACTGGGACAGTCCTGTTGTAGGAAACAGTAGGGTTTATGGTTCGTAGTTTAAATTGGATTGTAAGAACATGGCACACATTTGTTTCATGGCCATGTCTTCTCTCTTGAATTCAGAGATCTACAGTTTGAAAAATGATACAAACACCACAAACCTCAAACAGTCTAATTTTTTTCCAAGCTCTGAAAGTAGAAATTGAGATCAGAACCCTGATTGGACCAATGGAAAAAACATCAGTTTGGGAATCTCAAACTTTTACTTTTAGATCCCAGCTTGGCCATTTACTGGCTTGGCCCTATCATTTAAGCCTCCATTTCATAGGGCTCAGTGAGTTTAAATAATGTGGTACATATGGAATGTAATATCCAGCACTCACTAGACTAGACATGAGAACTTTCCTTCTCTCTCAGCACAGCATGTTAGCAAAGTATGTTGTTACTGTTTCTAAGAGTAAAAATGTGTGACTTAATGATCTTGATTGGAGGGTGGGGGGTTTGCACTAACCTAGCCTACAATGCTGTCTTCCATTCTTACAGTCTTGCTCTCATTCTGGATTTATTCTTCTCATTCTGGATTTCCAAATGAAATGAATGATCAATGGAGACCTTTGTGAGGATGCTAGAGGACAGAGGCCCATTGGTAGGGTTAGGGTGGTTTGACTTCCCCATAGCTTGGCCTCAAGCTGCCCATCAGTTAGTCTCATGCAGCAAACTTCTTACTTAGGGCCCAGAGTGAGTGAGACAGAACCAGGTAAGCATCGCCAGGGCTAGGATTGGGGTAGCTTACACATAGCTTTAAGCCTCTGAAGAGAGCATGTTCCTTCCTGGGCTTCAGATAGGTAAGTCTTAACCTTGTAGGTATATAGGTATATTGAAAATGCCTTTCTAAAGTATGCATATAGCCCTGAATATGTGTGCCACCCTTCCCCTCACTGGGCTCTGTGGCTCCTCCCTGCCCCCAAGCAGCCCAGGAAGTAGCTTCCATCCATATTGTGTCCTGGTCACTCCCTGGCACTGCTATGCCATTGACTAAGGACAGTTTCAGCTGTCCAGTATGAGGTTAGAGGTTAGAAAGTTAAAGTTTGCAAACTGGTCCTTTTCGATGGGAGCTCTGGTAGCATAGTGCCTAAGGCACTTGACTGCTAACCAAGAAGGCTGGCGGTTGAAACCCACCAGCCACTCCTCGGAAGGAAGGTTGGGAAGGTTGGGAGTCCTACTTCTGTAGTGATACTGCCTGCCTCGGAAACCCAAGGAGGGGTTGCTATGAGTCAGGGCCGACTCAACGGCACATAACAAGTCTAATTATGACCTTGAGTTTGTGAAGTTGTGAAGCTGAGTAATAATGCCTGAGATAATGATCTATGCTGATGCAAAAATGTGTCTGCTGAATGTATATTGTAGGGCCACTGTTGTGATGTTTAGTATTGACATTTTATTGTCAATAAAATATTCTGATTGGAGTGAATACCAGGCAGGTGAAATGGCCTAAGCCTGTCATGAAGTTTGCACACTTGCTCAAAATTCACACTGGGAATAGAGTTGGCCCATCCTTCTGGGTGGCAAGAATGATGAGTCTTGTCCACACTGTTCTAATACAGACTCCCTAAACCCAGAGGATAAACCCAGAGGAAGAGAGCCCCTTGCTTTTCCCATGTGGAGGAAATTAGCTCATAGCTGTATGTTAAAGCCTCCCAGTTCTTCTGTGGAGAAAAACCTGTGGCCACGCCACATGAGTTTATTAAACAGGCAACTGATTCAGACTTAATTCAGAATTCAGACTTAAAGCCCCTCTGCCTTCCTGTTATCTATGTGCCCTGGGCTGTATCGGGGCTTTTGCCTGGGGGTTGTCATCCAGTTGTATTCTGAGTGAACAGCAAAATCTTTTCTGTTTTTCTGTTTGGGCCCATGTTTTTTTTTTTTCATTTTCAAAGGGAAGACTTTAAAACTTGGAATGTGTTGCTCTAATCCTGTCTGTTTAAACACCAAGCATCCTCTGTGGCTGCAGAAGGGGAGGCCAGAGTGTTCTCCGGGGGGAGGGGGGAGCTGACTTTCCAGGGCAGTGTCTGTGAGCATCGTTAGCAGCAGCCACCATCTCGTTGGCTAATACATTACACCAATCAAGGAGCGTTATCTTAAGCCACAATTAATCTGCTCCCTGGCATATGTTGATAGGAAAGCATCATGCTGTTTCTTAATTAAAAGCAAACGGATTAAAAATGATTAATAAGAGTATTAAATATTCTCCGAAACTAAAGGCTTTGGGATGGATTCTTGGGTAAATCTAGTTTGGGTTTTTTTTTCTTTCTTTCTCTCTCTACTCTGAAACCCAAGAACCAGTCATTGATTGTATTCTTGCCTCACCTCCTAAGTCAGGGGTAAGTCTGCAAGCCGTGGCACCGAAGTCTGCATACCAGGAATGGGGCTGTGCAGCCTGCTGGGACCCGTGCCACAATGAGTTCAAGTTCAGACAACCACCTATACTGGACCCTTTGCTCCCTCTTCCCCAACCCCATTCCATTCATAGATAGGGAGATGTGGTACCACCTTTCATTATTTCATTAGAAACTTCATTAGAAACGAAACACTTTCTTGCTTTTTAGCTTCAAGAGATGTCATTCATGATCATGAGTCCCAAACAGAGAGGTGGAGTTTTGGTTGGTCAGCTTTGTACTCTCTTGGCCACACCACCCTAACTGGAGGAGTGATTTTATTTTTACACAAGATTGGCAAATTTTGGGTAAGAGAAGGTGCTGCATTGCTGATGCCTTAAGAATTTTTAGGAATCATAATAAACAACTAGTCACAGTTAACTTGCTAAGTTATTAGAGGTAGGAAAGTGAGAGTCTGGAAGTCTGGAAAGAAGCTATTATTTTTTAAAGGCACAAAATAGAAAACAGGCCAGTGCTCACTTTCTTACTGCTTGATCCCTCTTGAGAAGAGTGTGAGGAAAGCATTTCCTGTGGGCCTTTGCAGGCCCTAGAGTTACAGCTATAGCTTTTGCACTGTTGCTTATAGACAGGTTTCATGTAGCCCTATCTCAAGCTTCAAAGCCTCTATCTCAAGCTTCAAAGCCTCTGAGAGTCCCTAATGCACCCACCTATTAAATTACAGCGCCAAACTCATTGTCATTCTGACTTTGACTTCGTTAGTGATAACAGAGAAGGATAGCGCACCTTTAAATGAAGAGCTTTGTGTTTAATTACCCAAACAAAATGACATAAATATGAATGAGCCCTAATGGTGGTACTTGGTTTTCTGGAAACCATTAACAAAACGATTCCTAAATGATTTGTAAAGAAAATGAGAGGAGAAGAGAGCAAGGAGAAGGCTATTAAGGCTTCTAACACACTCCTGAGTTATTATGTAGTCAACTACCTAGGAAATACTCAGCCAGATGATCTTGAAAGGAGGCGGCAAGAGGTGGTATGTTGAGACTTTCAGGGTGATAGACCTCTTGACCCTTCTGAATACTCTTACTCTCATCTCTCATAGATGATAAAATGGAGGGTAGGTTTCTGACCTGGCAGCAAGGCTTCCTGCCATAAGTCCCTTATGGGCATGGGCACCTTGGGGAGAGCTGTGGGCCACCGACTCCAGAAGTGCCGAGGAGGCAGGGACACTCGAGCAGCCCGTCTGCAGTGCCGGGCCAGGACTGTAGGAATTGTGTCTCAGCTTCTTGGGAAATACCCTTTCATTTTAAAAAGACCAAATAAACACCACTTCACCCTCAGTCAGCACTTTACTAAGTAATTTGGGCTTTTAACTGTTTCTCTCAGATCTGCCCAGTTCCTGGATTCATTTAGCCTTTGTAGAATAGGCAGACACGTAGAGTCTGACAGCACCCAAGTAAGAGAGTGAACACTGAGGCCCTCCGGAGAGCCCAAGAGAATGCTTTGAATTTGCATCTTGTATCAAAAGGAGGAATGAATACACCTCCTGTCTTGGGGTCCATTTCCTCTTTCTACTATGATGCAAAGGAGAATTGTGACCAACTTTCCAGTTACTGAGTCATCAGAGTGGCCAGGCCTGGCCCTTGACCATGAGTTGTATGTCTGCAGGCCTACGTTTGGGACAATAATAAGGACCTGGTAGAATGGCTGGAGAAACAGCTGACAGAGGAAGATGGCGTTCGCTCAGTGATAGAGGAAAACATCAAATATATCAGCAGAGACTATGTCCTCAAGCAGATCCGCAGGTAAGACCAGCAGAGCGGGGGGTTAGTTTCAGAATCGTTAGATGATGGTGCTGTAGAAACATTGTGCTCTACTTCTATTGGGGACTGATGTAGTTGACCCACAGACAAAATAGAGCCCGGAAGCACAATTATTTCCCAGCTGCTGGTCGCCAGGGCACTTAGTAATCTCAGCTACCTGAAGGCTTAGTTCACAGTACTCATCTATTAGTTCAAAGTCCAGATAGATACTCAAACTGGATAAAAGATTCTGTGAGCAAAGGAGGGAGGTAGTCTTTGGGAAACCACCTCCCACCCTCCCCAGGCAGATGTCAGTTGTGTCCCTCCCAAGCCTTTCCCCTAGTCTTACACTAAAGTTGCAAAAATAAAAGCAGTACAAAGAACACCCTATATATCCACATTTACATATTTTGCCCCATTTGTGAATATACTCTCATATATTCATCTATATATAAAGAACTTAGGGGTAAAGGGCCTATATATGTAACTTACTCTTAAATGTTTCAGAAAAAAGGCATAAAAATTATATAATTTTTGAATGAAATTTTTTCCCCTTTTCCTGAAGCATTGAAGGGTGAGTTGCATATATCATATATTGGCCCTTTGTCCCTAAATGCATCAGTGTGCATTTGCATTTGCTAAGATGAGGGCTATTCCCTTACATCAACACAATAAAATTATCAACTGTAGTAAATTTAACATAGAAACCCCCAATTTTTTAAAAATCAAGCACACTTCCCTTTTTCTTTGTTTCTTCCTGATTAGTCTCAGCTTATGCATTCTAAGAATATTACATAAGTAATGAATGATGTGTCCTCAGTGTATCACATCTGAAGGCAGAAATGTTCATCTGCCCCTCATGATGTTAACTTCAGCCACCTGGTCAAGATGGTATTCGACTTCTCTAATTTGAGTCATAGCATGACTCAAAATGAGAAGAAACAGAACATGAAATGTACAAACTATGAATCTAGGAAAATTGGAAGTTGTCAAAAATGAAATAGAACACTTGAAGATAGATATCCTAGGTGTTAGCTGAAATGGACTGCTGTTGGCCATTTGGAATCGGACAGTAATATGGTCTACTATGCCAGGAGTGACAAACTGAAGAAGAACAGAGTCACATGCATTGTCAAAAAGAACATTACTATCCCGAAGTATCTGTACACCTACAAGGAAGACCAGTTAAAATGACTATTATTCAAATTTATGCACCAACCACTAATGCCAAAGATGAAGAAATTTAAAATTTTTACTAATTTCTGCAGTCCAAAATTGATCAAATATGCAATCAAGATGCATTGATAATTATCAATGACTGGAATGTGAAAGTTGGAAAGGAAGAATTGTTAGTTGGAAAGTAAAATAGAGCCTTGGTGATAGAAACAATGTTGGAGATCACATGACAGCATTTTGCAAGACCAGAGACTTAGGCATTGCAAATACCTTTTGTGAGCAACATAAATGGTGACTATACAGTGACTATACACATAGACTCACCAGATGGAATCAAATCAACTACATACATCTGTGAAAGAGTTGGTGGATCAGCTCAATCAGAACAAGGCCAGTTGTGGAAAAGATCATCAGCTGCTCATATGCAAGTTCAAGCTGAAGAAAAATAAAATCAGTTGATGAGAGCCAAAGTATGACCTGGAGTGCATCCACCTGAATTTAGAGACTATCTCAAAAGTAGATTTCACAGTAATGATCAGATGAGTTAAGAACATCATACATGAAGAAAGCAAAAGGTCAGTTAAAAAGACAGGAAAGAAAAGACCAAAAGCGATATCAGAAGAGACTCTGAAACTTGTTCTTGATTGGAGAGTAACTAAAGCAAATGTAAGGTTTGAAAGGGTGATTGGAAAAGACAAAGTATCACATGGAAAGACCTGGTGTTAGAAAATACACTCAGCATTTCTCCAGCTGAAAGAACTGAAGAAAAAAATCAAGCCTTGAGTTACAATACTGCAAGGTTCTATGGGCAAAATATTGAATGATGAATGATGCAAGAAGCATCAAAAGAAGATGGAAGGAATACACAGTCACTGTACCAAAAGAGGTGGTCAGCATTCCACCATTTTAGAGGGTAGCATATATGCTTAAAACTGATGATATTGAAGGAAGAAGTCCAAGCTACACTGAAGTGATTGGCGAAAAACAAGGCTTCAGGTATTGGCATAACACCAATTGAGGTGTTTCAACGAATGACTGCCACGCTGGAAGCACTCACTCATTCATGGTAAGAAATTCGGAAGACAGATACCTGGCCCAGAGTGATCCAACAGAATGCAGAAATTACTGAACAATATCATTAATAACACATACAAGTAAAATGTTGCTGGAAATAATCCAAAAACTGTTGTAGCAGCACATACATGGATGGGGAACTACCAGAAATTCAAGCTGGATTCAGAAGTGAGTATAAGTATAGAATGAGAGATCATTGCTGATGTCAGCAGGATCTTGACTAACGGCAGAGAGTACCAGAAATTTGTTTACTAGTGTTTTATTTACTATGCTAAACTATTCAACAGTGTGGATCATAACTAATTATATATAACATTGCTAAGAATGGGACTTCCAGAACACTTGAACCTGTACAAAGATCAAGAGGCATTGATTCAAACAGGACAAGGGAATACTGAGCTCTGGTAGCATAGTGCCCAAGGCACTTGACTGCTTATCAGGAGGCTGGTGGTTCAAATCCACCAGCCACTCCTTGGAAGGAAGATGGGGCAATCTACTTCCGTAGTGATACTGCCTCAGAAACCCAAGGTGGGGTCACTATGAGTCGGGTCAGACTCGACGGCACATAACAACAACAACACAACGTGCATCAGAGTTGTATCTTTTCACCATAATTATTCAGTCTATATGCTGAGCAAATAATCTGAGCTGAACTATATGAAAAAAAATGTAACATTGGGATTGAAGGAAGACTTGAAGCACTCACTGATGAAGATCAAACACTATCTAGCTTTCCATATGGATTTCACCTCCACATAAAGATGACAAAAATCCCCACAATGGACCAATAAGCAACAGCAACATCACGATAAATGGAGAAAAGACTGAAGTTGTCTAGGATTTTGTTTTACTTGGATCCACATCAGTGCCTTTGGAAGGAGCAGTCAAGAAATTAAACGACACTGCTGCAAAGGACCACTTTATTTGAGCACTAAGATGCACCTGACCCAAATTATGTTCTCAGTTCCCCCACATACATGTGAAAGCCAGACAGTGAGTAAGGAAGACCAAAGAATTGATGCATTGGAACTGTGGTGTTGGTGAAGAATGTCAAATATACCATGGACTCTCAGAAGAATGAATAAATCTGATGAGAAAGAGAGCCTCACTGAGATGGATTGGCACAGTGGCCTTAACTAGGCTCAAACATGACTGTGAGGCTGGCACAGGGCCACCCAGGGTTCTGCTCTGAGTTGGAACAAACTCGATGGTACCTAGCAACAACTTTGTAATTAATCTGTTTTCTCTCTTGTACCTAATGAACAATCGGGTGGGAGATGGGAGTCCTGGGTGGCACAAATGGGTTAAGCATTCAGCAACTAATTGAAAAAGTTGGTGGTTTGGATCTGCCCTTAGGCTCCTCGGAAGAAAGGCCTGGTGATCTACTTCTGAGAGGAACCCATGGGCTCACTGTGAGACAAGATCAACCGTTTGTTGTTTTAGGGAGGGAGGAACTTTAAGGCCATGCAGATATCCCCCTTATATTTAGCATCATTGATGATTCTTCTCTGATCCAGTCTTTACACAACGATGACTTTAAAACTCTAGTACTCTTGCTAGTCACCACTTCGATTCTACCATAAGCCAAAGCCCTCCCTTCTCCATTAGTCTCCACCAGTAATGAATGTTTTTATAGTTCATTACTTATTAGTCTGATGTCCAAACAGACTGTCCCAGGTGCAGCCAGTGTCTTTGTCACATGCACCCATTATTTTTTAAGTACTTCCCTTCTAGCTCTAGCATAGCAAGATGTTCTGGGTTTACCTTGTACCTGCCTTGATTCTAGGCACGTTTTTAATGTTGGAAAACAGCTCAGGTGAGTTGTTCACTAAACCACCTTCAGTATTAATATGTTTACTGGGCAGCAATTCTTAAGCTACGCTGATCTAGACATGCTGCCTCTCTCTTGTGTTCACCATCTCAAATCTTTCTCTCTTTCTCTCCAGCTTGGTACAGGCCAATCCAGAGGTTGCCATGGATTCCATCGTCCACATGACCCAGCACATCTCACCCACTCAGCGAGCAGAAATTGTACGGATCCTCTCGACAATGGACTCCCCTTCGACGTAGGAGGAGAAGAGCTTCCTGTTCCCTCCCTGCCTCCAGAGAAGGGGCCACAGATGCTTTTTATGACTGAAACCACTGTAATGAGAAGGCAGCAGAAGACCCAACACTGGAATCAAAGTGGCATTTTGCTTTTCCTCAAATGTGTTCAGGTTACGCATGATACATTCTGGGCTACAGGATCACAAAGCCCCACTCCAGCCCACTGGTCCCACCTATCCCATTCAGTATTTATTATCCTGGCTGTGGCTCTAGTCTGTCTCCCTGAACAAAACCTGAGAAGACAATGAAGGGTACAAGCATGTACCATGAAGTCTTACTACACAGCCACAGGGCTGCCTCCCTGACAGCTGGTGGTCCCGCCATGGGGAAGTGTGAGGAGTTGTCAGCAGTCCTGCCTAACTCCCAGCTCCATGAGCCTGTGGCCACAGGGCAGCAGAGGAGGGCTGGGGACATAGGCCCTGCACAGGTCTGAGAAGAGGAAGCCTCATGTCAGTTGTTTCTTAACCTCTACATTCAGCCCCGCTCACACTAGACACAGGTAGGGAATCAGTCCCAGTTTAACCACATTAGGATACCTATTCATTAGGAAGGAATTAGAGTATGAAATTTATTGCAGGCTCCCTGAGAACTCACGATGAGGGAAAAACCATGATCCAAGAAGCAAAAGACTTAAGTCATTGTTCTTGACTGAGGGGCTGCAACCTCAGGTTAAATTCTCTCAGAACAGATGGAATGAACATAGCACTGCTCCACTGGCTCAAGGCCAGTACCTCAAAGGCCCCGGCCTTCTGCCGGGGGGGCCCCACAGGCACTGCTGTAGCCTGAGTTGGCAAGAGTCAGATGGAACCGCCCTGGTCTCTCACTCATGGAAACTAGTTACTCATGTCACAGGGAGAGCCGGCCAGCTAGCCTCTGTGTAGGATTTGAGAGATTGTTTACTGTTAAGCCTGGAGTTTTGTTACAAAATGTTCATGGTGCCTATGGAGCCTCTTATCTTCAAGTAATTAGGACCACCTTGCCTAGCAGCTGACATTCCTACCCCATCTGAGTGTTGTCTCTTCCCTAAACTCTATACAGTGAACAGGTGTAACAGGTCTCCCCACAACTGCTGGAAGGAACCCAGGTGACACCTGTGATGCCAGCACCAGGATCCGGCCCTCCCCAGTGCGGGGCGGCCTCTCCTTAAGGACACGTGAGTCTAAGAATATTTATAACTCAGTAATGGTGCTGTGGTCTTCCAGGCTTCCCTGGCTGCCTCAAGGGTGGTAGAGAGTCTGTTTATTTTTCAACAATCAGTTTGTTCAAGAATGTTCAAGAAAAAGCTATCTGTATTCCTAAAGCAAGAGTGGCAGGTGGTCAGGACTGGTGTAGCATGTAGCACCCAGTTTCTACAGTGCAGCTAATTGGATTTGTCACCGACGACCACGGAGGAAATCACTAAGACATTAGAATGAAAAGTATGAATACTTTTGTACAAGCTCCAGTTCTGAGCGTCTTCCCTGTAGTTCACACACAAGAGGCTCCCCCCCCGCTGCAGGGCCTGCTGGTGTGGATGGCTCAGCAGCTCTGAGGGGCACTTTTTGGGCAAACAGTTCTGATGACAAAAGTGGCTACACCACCGACTGCCCTCAAGGAAGGCACGGTTGTTTGGCACCATCAAAGCAGGGAGGGAGTGGGGAGCAAGCCAGTGTAAGGAGAAGCACAGCTGCTGTTGGTTTACCCAGTAAGAGAGACTCGGCTGACTCCTCAACCAGACTGTTCACCTGTATTTACTACAGAAAGGTACAGAGGGTCTGAAGCCTACACTGAGTTGGCCTGCACTTGCCCTCTCATTTCCTCAAGACAGGATGGGTTTTACTCTTTTTACTTCCTACCCAAATTATGACACAAATGCATAAATTTCCTCTCCAGAACCTGTAATGCCCACCCCCTCCCATGGTCCTCTTCCCTTTAGGTCTTACCCTGGGTAGGGGTTTGTCATAGGGAAAGTCAAAAAGTGCCATCGAACATGAGCCATCTGATACTCCCACAGCCCGTTACACATGCAAGGTTTCTGAGGCAGGAGGGCCATAAACGATGGATGACCAAGACTCGCCTGAGCTGGCATGGCCGGGCTACCTGTTCACAAAGCAGCCTTCACTTGTCTTGGTGAGAAGTCAATGGACACAAACCCGGATGAGCAAGGAGCTTGGAGCTTCCAACAAATGCACTCTTTCCACGTTTTGTTGAAATAAACCTCCACATTTGTAGAAGAGTCAATGTTTGTCATTTCAGCCCATGCCTAGCCACCTCATCTGGTCTACTTTCAAGCAGGGGGTTGGGGCTCAGTGGTGGGGTGAGCCCCATGCAGGGCCCTGCCACACTTTTCTACCCTTTGTCTCCTGGACTCACCTAAGAATGAGCTGAGAAAGGGTGAGATGCTGCAGGGCTGTCGGTGGTCTGGAACTCCCCAGGTGAGTCAACCCTTCAGTGGCGTTTTTGTAGTGCCAGCGAATGAGTTTAGGGCAGGGGTAAGGAAAAACACGAGTCTGTTTTCTGTCTCCTTTCCAGTAGGCAGGAAGTTGAGAGTGTTCTGATACTCTCAGTGTAATTACCACTGGGGCCAAATGGCAGGTATTAGAGATTTTATGGACCAAACCAAACTCACTGCCGTTGAGACAGATCTAACTTATAGCGACCCCTCCTTGGGTTTCCAGGGTGGTAACACTAGGGAAGTAGATTGCCCCATCTTCCTTCCGAGGAGTGGCTGGTGGATTTGAACCGCCAGATTTCTGGTTAGCAGTCAAGTGCCTTAAGCACTACGCCACAAGGAAGGGAATGACTGCTCTTTGCTGATTATTACAATTCAGTGCTATGTCCATCTCCCTCTTTGGAACGTGCGGTAAAGCAAAGGGTGGCTTTTTCTAAAATAAAATGTTAACGTTGAAAAAAAAAAAAAAAAAAAAAGATCCATCTGAATCCCCCTTAAAGAAGTTCTAGAAAGGGAAATTCATGATCCAGAGGGAAAACTGCTACTTCTGCCTCCAGCTGCCGCTCTCTGAGCAGGGATCCGGCCCCCACTGAGCCGGCTGGTGGGAACAAGACCCGAGGCTCGGGCTCTAAGCAGCCAGCACTCAGCCAGCACCCGGTGGCAGCTCTGAGACAGGGCAGCAAGGTGAACAGAAAAATGATGATCCTGCCTTTTCTTGCAGGAAGCTGCCTGATGCTTACAGTGCTCTCTTCTGCTGAGGAGTCACAGTTCCTTCCCTCATCTTTAATAAAAGAGTATTTTAAACCCCATTGGTATTACGTTGGGGTAACAGGAAAAGGCTGAACAAGGGTTCTGTGAGCTAGGCCTGGCCACCTCTACTTCTCTAACTGAAAAATAAAACCATGGTGACTGAATGACCATCACAGGGAGGAGCTGAGCCGGGGAGGCAAGCCTTCATTTCAACGCCTGGTTCCTCGGGGCCTGGTCACAATGAGGCAGGCAGCACTAAAGGCCACGTGACTGGTAAAGACAGTTAAGGGCCTTTTGGTAGAGAGGTGTTTTCCAGTTAAGGCAAGATGTCCCAGGCCAGGGTTGTGACATTTCCAAAGTTGGTCAAGGGACCCTAGGAACTTTGAGAGAGTGAGTACTCATTTGAGGGAGTGGTGGACAGTGAAGTCTAAACAGGCAAACAGGTATTGGATCATGAAGAGTTTCAAATGCCAAGAAGCAAGAGTATGTCCTGAAGAGGGAGGGTGGGAAATCTTTGATGGTTTTGTGAGCGTGAGAAGGTGGTGTATACCCAACCCACTGCAATCAAGTAGATTCCAACACTACTGGACAGAGTAGAACTGCCCTACAAGCTTTCCAAGGCCGCAAATCTTTATGGAAGCAGACTGCCTCATCTTTCTCCCACTGAATGGCTAGTGGGTTCACACCACCAACCTTTTAGTTAGAAGCTGAATGTGTTAACCACTACACCACCTGGTTCAATGAAGAGCGTGGCTTGGGCACCAAGACATCTGGGTCCAAGCTCAGCTCCAATGGTTTTGTGTGTGTAGCTCCCAAGCTGAGTCACCACCGCGTATAGCAGGCCCAGGCCACCTACAAAGACGCGGAAATTGTAACGGGCCAGCTCTTCTCAGTACTCCCAAGGTCCTGCTTGTGCCTCAGCCCTGATGGCCAGGATTCCACCAACCCAGGAAAGCAGCACGAGCCACCTTATGCTTGCCAGAAGCTCAAATGGGTAGTTGTTAATAATAAATAACTGAATAGGATGTCTTCATAAATGCATTATTTCAGTAAGCAAAACCTCCCAAAACATGAGCTTTCCATATGGTTACGTAAGGAGCAGAATGACAACAGAGGCCAGCCCCGAGAGAGCTGTGGGAGCCATCTGCTGGTCCCAGACCATTAGGAACTGCAGGAGTGTGGGACAGGCTAAAGCTCAGAAGGGGTTAAATGATAGGCCTAATCAAAAATTTGGATTCTGTGATTGGCCTTCTCATAACCGTGGAATAAGCCTGAACTGGGTTCAAACATTTGGTCCCTCATTCCTGTTGTCCTTGGGCAAGCTCCTGATTTCCTCATCTGTGCAGTGTGGATAATAAGCTTTTAAAAAATTATCTTAAGCTAGTTAATTAGAATATTTTCTGGACTTTAGTAGCAGATTCTCAATACCTAGGTTTCTCTGTGCCCGGACGCTTACTTCTGTTCACAAGACCAGGGGCTTGCCATCACTCAGGGATACAGTCCTTGCAGAGTGTTACCATGGACCAGACCCGTGGGGAGGGCAGTGTCCAGAAAAGATTATCTCTAGGATTGAGCCACATGGACACCACACAGGTGTCACCGAGGAGCTGAGTCAGAAGGCTGAACTCGAGCACGGCTCTCACAGTGGAGTCTTTTGAGCAGCTCAAGGGCCTTTTGGAGTCTCAGTTTCCCTAATGAGTACAGGGTGAGACAGTCCCTAAAACAGCTCTCTTTCAGCTCTGAAATGACTCTAATCTGGGATGATGGGTGATGCTGAAGTTTGCATACAAATGTTCTGATTTGGGACTTAGGGAGGACCTCCAATATGCAGGAGGGACTCTGGTGGCACAGTGGTTAAGGACTTGGCTGCTAACTGAAAGGTCTGGGGTGGGTTGAAATCTACCAGCTGCTCCATGGGAGAAAGATGTGGCAGTCTCCTTCCATAAAGATTTACAGCTTTGGAAACCCTATAGAACAGTTCAATCTTGTCCCCTAGGGTTGCCGTTAAGTCAGAACTGACTCAACAGCAACAGGTCTGGTTTGGCTTCCTCCCACCCCCGATATGGTAGAACTAACAGCTTGGCAAATCCTTTTCCGAAAGGCAGTGATAGAACTAGACAAAAGGTATTTCGGGTGTCTGGAAATCAACCAGCTTATAGACCAAAATGAGAAGCAGTTATTCATTAAAAACTAGTAACTGGGTAAGAACAGTGAAAGTCTGCAGTGTTACACTTGCCTAGGGCTGCTCCCATCTCTCACTCCAGCTTGATGTTACAGTTCTAGAGGGCAGAGCAAGCCCTAAAAACCTGCATGGTTGCTGCTGGAGGGGATTATTTGGGGAAAATCCACACCCAATGGTGTCAATAACAATAGTGATCTCAGTGGCAAACAAACAGGGAAGATCCATGGCTCAGTTAGCCTACAGCTGTATTCCTGGTTGGCTCTCGGAACAGACCAGCAGGCTAGATGGAATTTTAAGAGAAAGGAAACGAGGGAGCCAGGCATAGGGGACT